ATGTTATCCATAATTTGTCATGATCCACACAATCAAATGCCTTTGCATAGTCAATAAAACACAAGTAAACATCTTTCTGGTATTCTTTGCCTTGCTCCAAGATCCCTGGATCCCTGCAGCTGACTCCTCTCTAGTTCCTTTAGGTATCTGAAAATTCCTGAGGCCTCAACATGACTGTTTCTTTAAGATTAAGACTGACTTTTCAATTATATTTTCATTCTTAGCATTTATTTGGGAACTCTGGTAGTGTAGTGCTTAAGGCACTTGACTGCTAACCAGAAGTCTGGCAGTTCAAACCCACCAGCCACTCCTCAGAAGGGTGATTGGGCAATATACTTCCATAGTTCTACCACCTCAGAAACCCAAGGAGAGGTTGCTATGAGTAGGGTCTGACTCAATGGCACATATCACCAACAACAACAGCATTTATTTGGGGGTAATAGTGGCTGAGAGGTAGAATTCTGAACTTCCATGTTGGAGACTGATTCTGTATATCCACGTTCTATTCCCTGCCAATGTACCTTGTGTACCATCCCCACTCTCCCATCAGTGAAGGTGCACATGTTGCTGTGATGCTGAACAGGTTTCAGTGGAGATCCTAGACAAATACAGACTGGTAAGAATGGTCGTGTCATCTACTTCCCAAAATCACAAGTATTAAAATGACATATTCCATGCATTCCAGAGGTTTGACTGGCAGCATCCTCTTAGTTCCCCATTTCTAATATAAGCATAAAAAAATTTCTTCTTTGAAGCTTATGCTATTTAATCAAGTCATCTGTCATGCTATAATCTACTTCCTTACACCTCACTATTACTTTAGACATTTGGACTGACTCAGAATTTTCTCATATGTTACAACTTTTGTCAACATTTTGTATGACTTCAGAATCTTTGATCTTCATCCTTTCATACTATATCTATATAGATATATAGATATATATTTTAAAGGATTATTGTCTGCAAGGTTATGTTCAGCATGATCGACTGGTTCCATTGAGATCAATAATGTGTCCATTCATCAGCAGTACCATCATCATCAAAATAAAAAAGCAACTAATATTTATTAAATGCTGAATAGAATATGTGAAATATTTCATTTATACATAAAACAAAGAAAAACGTACCAATATAATTTTTTTTTCCAGTTGTTGTTGTTGTTGTTATGTGCCTTAGAGTTGGACCCAACTCATAGCGACCCCTCCTTGGGTTTTCGAAGCAGTATCACTACGGAAGTAGGATTGCCCAACCTTCCTTCCGAGGAGTGGCTGGTGGGTTTGAACTGCCAGCTTTCTGGTTAGCAGTCAAGTGCCTTAGGCACTATGCTACCAGAAATGCTGAATACAATATGTGAAATATTTCAGTTATACATAAAACAAAGAAAAAGGTACTAATATAATTTTTTTTTCCAGTAAGTAACTAATAATTAAGTAGTATGACAATTTCATAAAGTGACTGGGTGGCAGGCATCAGAATTTCTAATATTTACAATTTAAAAAAAATCTCCAAGGTACACTGCTGTGCTGAAATTAAAATGCATATTACATATATTTCAAACCAAGGTAACTATCCAAAAGTTAAGGAGACACCCTTTCATTTCTCATATTGAGTGTTGGTATCGGTTCTTAACTCATCTTCTTAGTACTATATGGCTCCTTGTTTACTATTCCATTTGCACTCCAATAAGTTTTTAAATGTATACTGAATCATATGTCCCTTCTTCTTAAAAATTATGATTAGTTAGATAGTTTTATGAAATAAAATCAGAACTTATTAATATGATTTACAAACCTTAAAGGACTTTGCTCCTTTTTATCTTGAAATTCTTAGGATAATACAGTTAGTATATCAGCATATATCAGACATTTTTATACCTTGCATTTCTGTAAATGAACTCATGCAATGTTACAAATCAACACTTGTCTACATTCATCTGCATCAAATGCTGTTTCTCATCTGACTTGTTTTGCTGGATAAGACTCTGTCTTCTTTGAAGACGTCACCTTCCATAAGCAGTCTTGACATTCATTCTTTGGTTACTCATTCACCTTGCATTTTCACACACTTATTTTAAGGAACAAGAGACCTTGGTATGACAATGGTAAAGTGCTCAACTGCTAACTGAAAGGTCAGCAGTTTGAATCTACCTACTGCTTCCAGGGAGAAAAGACCTGGCAGTCTGCTTTCATAGAGATTACAGCCAAGGGAACATTATGGGGCAGTTCTACTCTGTCAGATATGGTCACTCTGAATCTGAATTCACTCAACAGCACACATCAACATTTCAAGGAATAGAAAGCATTATGCATTCATCTCTCCATCTAAGTATTTTCAACACTAGGTCTTTGGTGGAAACAACAGTTCTTGCTCACATCTGTATCTGCAGCATCAGAAATATACCTGTCAGATAGATTATGCTCAAAATATTTTTACTGAATAGATGATTTAATGAGACAACCAGTTTGCACCTGTCTGGACAACTCAATTTACAAGCTATAATAATATCACAATATTCCAAGAGTTTGGTTTACCTGATAGGCAGTACATGGTATACGTTGGCTTCCTCAACATATTGCAACTTACGGCTCTATCCACAACTCTCATTAAAACAAAACCAGCACTTTTCCCCCTTAAAGCCAAAACTACCTTGCCATTTTTTTCATCAATAGTCATGACTGTGCATCCACCCTTCCTCTTGACATTGAGTAAATCATTGGAACTCCTGAATATTCTGATTTTTCAAGAAATGAAAATAGCATTATTCAACCAAAGCAGTAATGCATAGTGTTGAAATTTTACCTGCTGCTGAAGCTGTCAAGTAACACGCCTTCTTAATATATTTTATACCCTATTGTATGATAAAAATTTTGTTGTTGTCTGCCATTGAACAGACTTCAACTCATAGCCACCCAATAGGATAGAACAGACATGACACATAGGGTTTTTTTATGCCAAATCTTTATGGGAGCCAACTGCCAGGTCTTTTCTCTTGACAAGCCACTGGGTTGGTTTGAACCACCAACATTTAAGTTACAAACTAAACTCTTAATCATTGCACTGTCAGGACTTCTTATGATAAAAATACCCTTAAAGTATTTGAATGAATTCTCCTCCTCATCCTCTGTCTTTTTCTTTCTTACCCCTGTGGGGAGCATTGGCTTAGGAGTTCAAATTCTTTGAGGAGCTACCAATGAGTGTTCTATACCTCTAAGATTTATCTTAGAAGTGTGTCTTTAGCATGTAAGTGATAAGACTGACCATGAGTAGTAATGTTACCAGTGGATTAAGGGAGATATCATCATAAATTCTGCACTTACTCCCCAAGACGTTAACTGACTGAATGGCAGATCTCTCTATACACAGTTTCTACTGAGCCTTTATTGAGGATCTTGAATCCAGACCCTCAGTTAAGAAACCGAGTGCTTTCCAGCTTGATAAATCCTGGGAGCTTATTTTCATAAGGGTTTTAGGAACCAATGAAGTACTCTTCTCATTAAGACTCCAGTTCAAGGTGAATACAGTTTCTCTACTGAAAATCAGTCATAAACATACAAACTGATATGGTTGTAACACCCTATTTTTCAGAAGCAAAAGCAAAGAACTAAGATAAAAACCATTCCCAACTTAGTGGCAGTGGACTCACATAAACTATAACAACATATGAGAATTCCAGTATAAATTAGACATGACGATAGTTGAATCTACAATTGTTTCATGAAGTGTCTGATTTATGCCTGCAGTGTTCAATACATTTAAATGTTATAGCAAATACATTGGATTTTAGCTTTTAAATATAATTTCTCTAAAATAAATTGAAATTGAAAATTTAGTTGTTCAATTATACTACCAACATTTCAAGTGCCCAGTGCCCATATGTGGCTATTGCTCTATGTTGGTCTATATTACCATATATTAGTGAATGTCTTCACCAATTTAGAAAGTTCTATGGAAAAATGTTGGTCTATATATTTATCACACCATTCCTGTGAGTTGGGTATTTTCCTCATTTTTAAGATTAACTAACTAAAACTCAGAGAGTTACAGAAACTTTAAATCATCCAATTGAAATTGGAAGACATGGGATTTGAATCCAGCTCAGTTTTGCAGAAACAAAACTAGTTGAAACTCTACTTGGGGTACATTAACCGTATTTACACTCTCCGATTATGGTCATACTGGTGCAGCTATCTAAACATGCTCTGGTACATATATACAAATCAGCAGTTCATGCATAATTTAAAGATGGAGTCACCCAATCTAGAGATCCAACATTCACACATGGGCAGTGGGCATAGCCTTTTTTAAGGCAATGCATTTCAAGACATAAGTTAAAATGAGACTTGTCTGTAGCTGATGCTCTGATTAAAATTATATTGGTTTGGTAAACAGGGATCATAGACTCAGAACTCTGATAAAGTTGCTGTTATGTGTTTATTTTTGTCTGGTGGCATAATGTCTTAGGCATTTGACTGCTAACCAGAAGGCTGGTGGTTCAAACCCACCAGCCACTCTTCAGAAGAAAGACTGGGATCTTCCTTCCATAGAGATACTACCTCAGAAACTCAAGGAGGGGTCGCCATGAGTTGAATCCAACTTGACAGCAGTAAGTTTGATTTTTCGGTTTTATTATTTTTAACATCAGTTATACCAAAAAAAAAAAAAGAAAAAAGAAAAAAAAAAGAAACACCCAAACTCACTGCCATTGAGTCAATTATAACTAATGCCAAACTCCTTTGAGTTTCTGAGGCAATAGTACTTTACGGAAGTAGTTTGCCCAGTGTTCCTTCCATAGAGTGGCTAATGGGTTTGAACCTCCAGCCTTCTGGTTAGCATTCAAATGCCTTAGGCACTACAGCACCAGAGCTCCTTTACACCAATCATATCAGCGTAATTTTAGAGAAAATAGTTTGAGTATTCTCCTACGAATCTGTTGGGTCTTGACACTGTAGATGATGGGATTCATCAACAATGGGAAAAGGATGTAGATGTTGCCCATCAGGACATGGACAACAGGGGACAGGTGCTTGCCAGAACGGTGCACCATTGTTAGGCTGATGACAGGGATGTAAAACACAAGGACACCACAGACATGGATGCAGGTCTGAAATGACTTAGCTGCTCCTTCTGGGAGGCAATTGCGAGAATTGATTTAATAATCAAGATGTAGGAGATGAGGATAAGTACAGCATCCAACAACAGTGTGCAGGTGACCAGCATCAAGGCATAGTAGCTCTTGAATCTAATATCTGAGCAGGCTAGACGTAGAAGGTCCTGGTGCAGGCAGAAAGAATGAGAGAGGATGTGGGGACGGCAATAGTGAAAGAGTTTCAGACGGATGATGGCAGGTGTAATGAAGAAGAAACTCCTTCCAAGTATGGTGAGCCCAATTTTGATAATCCTGGAGTTAGTCAGGATGGAGGAATAACGCAGTGGGTTGCAAATGGCAATATAGCGATCAAAGGCCATAGTAAGGAGGACAGAGGACTCCATGAAGGACAGACCATGAATAAAATAGGACTGAACAATGCAAAAATTTAAGCTGATTTCTTGAATGAGCCCCCACAGGATGCCCAGCACTGTGTGCACTGTGGAGAGGCCCATGCATAGGTCAGTGAGGGCCAGCATGGCCAGGAAGTAGAACATGGGCTGGTGTAGGCTTGGTTCAGTCCAGATCACATGGAGCACCATGCAATTTCCCAAAAGTACTATGGCATAGACGGAGGAGAAAGGGATGGAGAGCCAGGGATATTGGTGCTCAAGGCCAGAAAATCCAGTGAGCAGGAAGGAGGAAGTATTCACACTGGGGCTCCCAGGAGCCAGCATTTTACAACTGAGGTACTCATTCCAGGAAACAAGGAGTTTCTCTTCAAAGGAAATGCTCCAATTCAAAAAAGAAGAACAAAGTTTCTAAGTCAATATAATCAACATAAAGGTTAACAAAACTTTTAACATAATTGACCAGATGACCAGCTCTCTTCTTCAGAAGCATATCAGTGTAATTTCAGAGAAAATAGTTTGAGTAGTCTACTACGAATCTGTTGGGTCTTGACACTGTAGATGATGGGATTCATCAAAGGTGGGAAAAGAATGTAGATGTTGCCTAGAAATCTTCTCCTGATACCATTTCAAAACCATTATTCATCTACTATCAGGGTATGGAGCTATTTTTCAAAGATACATTTAAAAATATATAGATAAGAATAGGTAGTGAATTTTCAAATATGATGGCTGGGACATTTTCCCAGTCATCTTGGTGAGAATGGTACATATGAAAATTGAGAGATAAAGTTCTTAAAATAATCATTATTTTCCATTCATTATGCATTTGAAGAGTAATCTTTGTCCTTTCCTGTCATAAACCCATGAAAATAGTCACTTTTACCCATCATTTTTCATTTCTTCCTCTCTCCAAGCATTTTTAACCCCTAAATAGTACTTTTGAAGGATACTTCTATTTTCTCTCTCTCCAGCTGGCATAGACTGAAATTATTTTTCTTCCTCACCCATAGTCAGGGAAGAATATTTATGCGTGAAACCTTGGCCAAGGATTCTCATAGGTGCTTTGTACCCATGAGATGTTAACTTCTCCGTGGAGCTCTTGTAACAGAAAGACTTATTTTGAAGACCGTTACCTCTGACATCAGCCTAACATTCTCCACACATTTATTCATTCAATCAAACCCTTGGGTAACTATGCATTGAATATGTATTTTTAAAATATATTGAGTCTTGTTTTCTCTTCCTTAGACCCTTCCTTCTAAAGATCAGAAGATAGCTAAATAGCTAAGTTTAGAATTAAAACAGGAAAAAAAAAAGCTCATTACTGCAAAACTGATTGGATCTTTCTTCATATGCTTCCCTGTTTTGAGATCCGGTCCTGGTATTGACCACAAAAGATTTGAGAGCTCTTGTAATCTTGTTGTTGCTAGTTGCCACTGAGTCATAACTGACTCAATGCGTGTCAGAGTAGAACTGAGCTCCACAGATTTTCTAGGTCATGCTATTTAAACAGCTGATCACAAGGCCTGTTTTCTGAGGCATCTCTGAATAGGTTCAAACAGCTAAATGTTTTAGCTAGTGGTCAAGCACATAACTGTTTGCACCACCCAAGGACTCTTACGGTGTAAGTGGATTTTAAATATCCATACTGGCATTTGTGTTTGATCTAATTACTCCAGCATGTTAAAGTGGTTTCGTGTTCTGGCTTCCTTTTAGATCTTATTTTTCATCTTTGTCATACTAGCCTCACCAGGCAGGTCTCAAAGCTAATCTTATTTTCAATGTATAACTTCATCCAGCTACTCAAAAAAAAACATGGTCTCAGCTGTGGCACGTCCCCTCCATCCCTGCCTGATTCCTTCTGGGGGTCTGTCTGTTCTTACTTGAATTTTAATGCCCCTCTGAACATTGAGGAGCTTAGCTCACCATTTTCAGTAAGTTTGCCCCATTGAGTACTTGGAGATTTTCACTTTGCAGAAGAATTTGTTGACCTTATGAACACTGATGTTTCATGCCTCCAAATCACCATTTCTCTTCCATCATAAAGATAGATTTTTCACCACATGTTTTCTCAGTCTAGGATATTCATTTTCCTCCAACTATTTTCTTCCCTTTTTGAAACTCTCACATTTTTTCCTTTGAGTCTCAATCATCATTTTTTGAGAAATTCGTTAAGCAAGTCATGTCATATATATCCATTATTTTGGTAACATGAATCTATCTCATATAACCTTTAAATTTATAATTTGATATTTATTAACTTAATTTAATGTTGTGTACTGAACGTAGGCTGCCTGAGTGTGAAGACTGTGTCTTTTTTTCTCACTATTTTTCCTAAAATTTTCAACTGCAATCTCTGGCCATCCTCTATGAATTCATAGCACAGCCTGCCTGCTTGATATCTCCATATATGTGTTTAATCTCAAAATTAGAATTATACATATAAAATACTTGTTTTTCCCTAAAATGTGTTCTTTCTCAAATTTTCTGTCACAGCAGCAAATGACTAAACCAATAACACAATTTCTCAAGACAAAAACTCAGGGTCATTGTTGATTTTGCTCTTTCTTTTTATCCATTAAATACTTCATCAGTTTCTACTATTTTCCCCCTAAAATACATTCCTCACTCTGTCTTCTTTTCCTCTATACACTGCAACCATCTTGGACCATAACATCATCATCTGTTGCCCTGACTATTGTAACTATTTATTGACATCTTTATTTTTGCTTTTGTTCTCTGTTATGCATTGAATTGTATCCCCAAAAAATATTTTCCAACTTGGCTGGGCCATGATTCTCAGTATTATGCAATTATCCTCCATTTTGTAATCTGATGTAATTATCCTATGTGTTGTAGATCCTCACTCTATGATGTTAATGAGGCAGTCATGATAATGAGGTAGGATGCAATCTACAGGATTAGTGTGGTGCAGTCAATTATGTGGCATGGCTCTTCTAGCCATGGTTTTTGTGACTCTTACCAGATTACTGGGTGGAGCTATGCAAATGTAAGGTGCTTGTGGCCCACCAAAGGGATTGGATAGCTTGTTAAACTCACTGTCGTCAATTCCATGCTGGTATCTTTAAGGAAGTATATTGTCCAGTCTTCCTTTAGGGAATGGTTGCTGGCTTTGAACCACCAAGCTTCAGGTTAACAGTCAAATACCTTAGGCACTATGCCACCAGAGCTCCTGGGATATCTTGTTAAATAAGGTACATGGCATCCTTGTGGGAATGGGACCATGAAAACAAGGTGTATGGAACCCTAATGTGGGGATTCATCAGTTTTGTAAATCTGCTAGGCTTAAAATGAGTCCTCCTAGAGAAAGAAGAG